TAAGATTATATAAAAAGATTCCTAAAACATACTGGACTAGGCATTCACACACAGTGAGATCAGAAGAGGATACGTTTAGGAGACAAACAAAAGCACAATGCCTATGTGCATCTGGTCATACAAAATAGTGTTTATCAAAATGAACTCCAGAAAATGGAAACTGGGTTTTTTCTTTGTTGCTGTTTTTGTTTTCTTTTTGTTTTGGGAGTGCAGGGGGAGGCATAGAAATGGAACAACTAAGGGTAAACAGGTGCAGCAGTGGCACTCACTAGACACTATATTGAAAATGAACTATACAACTTGTTGGTAAGGATGAGAGAGAGCGAGGGAAGGAGTGACGTTGGGAAGGAGTGACGTTGTCCTAAAAGAAATGTACTCATTACCTAACTTAGGTTAACTCTGTAACCTTTCTATGCATCACCTTTATAATGAAAAACATTAAATCAGCCCGCAAAGAGGAGGGGCTGGTTTTGTTGAGTTCCTAAAAAGTGAATAATGGGAAGTGGAGTTATGGCTCAAGTGGTAGAGTGACAGTCTTGAGTGGAAAAGCCAAGAGAGAGAGTGAGATTCCAAGTTCAAGTCCCAATACCAGTACACCAAAAAAATGGAATAACTCAGCAGGAATTTAAAAATTAAGTGATTGCTGGGTGTTGGTGCCTCAGTGCCTGTAATCCTAGCTACTCAGGAGGCTGACGTCTGAGAATTGAGGTTTGAAGCCAGCCTGGGCAGAAAAATCAGACTCTCCAATAAACTACTCAAAAAAAGCCAGGAATGGCACTGTAGCTCAAGTGGTAGAGTGCTATCTTTGAGCACAAAGAGGCTTAGGGCCAGTGCCCAGGGCACTGGCCGTAGGGCCAGAAAAAAAAATTGAGTGATGGGCAACACATTTAAAATTTCTCTCCAAAGAAGATAGATAAATGGTGATAGGTGAAACCACACCTAATGGCTAGGTATGTATCTTGCCTCCCATGTACAAGCTGTTGGATTGGATCTCCAGCATTGAAAAAAAAAACATATTGAAAAACAAAACACAATTAAGAAATCAGGAGGGGGCTGGGATGGTGGCTTTGTGTGAGTGCTTGCCTCACATGCATGAGGTCCTGCACCACATAAACAGAAAAAGCCAGAAGTGCTGTGGCTCAAGTGGTAGAACGCTAAACGCTAACCTTGAGTTGAGATCTGAGGGGACAGTACTAGGCCCAGTGTTCAAGCCCCATTCCTGACCAAAAAAAAAGAAAAAGATGAGAATGAATGAAAATGTTGCTGATAGGAATATAAGTAGAAAACTATGACCTTCAAAATGTTACTCCTTGACTCTGAAGGTCATACTCAGGCTCGGATATAGCCATACATTTATATGAATTTTCACAGCAGCATTTCATAATTGTCACAAAGTGGAAATACCCAAATGTCATCAGTAATTGGTGAATAGATAAACTGGTATGTTGTTCATATGTACTGTGGATGAACCTTGGAAGCTTAGTAACCCTAAGGCCACATACATATATATTCCATTTACATTAAATATCCAGAATAGGTTAAAAAATTGGTTGGGTTTGGGAATAAATGAGACCATAATGCTAAAGGATATGGGGATTTTCTTTTGGGAGTCATTGTTTTAGAATTGATTGTGATAGAGAAGTTGTAGCTTATTAAGAAAAATGTATGTTGTAACTGGATGCACTGTTATGTATGTGAATTTTATTGGTAAAGCTTTTATTTTGGGTAACCGTGGTAGGTTTGCCAGTTCTAGGCCTTGAACTCCATCCTGTGTGCTGCCCCTGAGCTTTTTTTTTTTTTTTTGGTCGGTTATGGGGCTTGAACTCGGCCTGAGGCTGTCTCAGCTCTTCAGCTCAAGGCTTTACCACTTGAGTCACAGACTTTTCCTGCCATGCCTGGCTTTGAATCACGATCCTCAGATCTCAGCCTCCTGACTAGCTAGTAGGAATGAGCCACCTGTGCCTGGCTTTCCCACCCTAATTTTAATAGTAAGGAAAATAAGAATAGAAAATGCAAAGAGGAGCACCTCCTGTGTGATCTACAGGTAATGGTAGCAGAAGGGTTCTGCACATTGCCTTGTTGATGTCAAAATATAGTTGAAAATTTGTAAAGCACAGCAATAAGAAGGATGTTACTTAGAGGTTTAACCGTGTTAAAATGCTGTTAGCATTATATAGTTGTGTCTAGGTGCTTTTTTTTTTGTTGTTGTTGTTGTTGCCAGTCCTGGGGCTTGAACTCAGGGCCTGGGCGCTGTCCCTGAGCCTCTTTTGGTCAAGCCTAGCACTCCACCCCTTGAGCCATAGCCCCACTTCTGGTTTTGAGTAGTTTATTGGAGATGAGTCTTTTTTCTTGTTGGTCATGGGGCCTGAACTCTCGGCCTGGGTGCTGTCCCTCAGCTCTTCAGCTCAAGGCTAGTTCTCTACCATTAAAGCCACAGTGCAACTTCCAGCTTTTTCTGCTTACGTGGTGCTGAGGAATCGATCCCAGGGCCTATGCATATAAGGCAAACCTCTACCACTGAGCCACCTTCCCAGCCTGGAGAATGAGAGTCTTAATCGACTTTGCTGCAGGTGATCTTCAGATGTCAGCCCCCGGAGTGTGAGTCATGGGCACCTGGCTAAAAGCATACTTTCAAACCTACTCTGTTTAATTTATATTTTGCTATCTGGGGGATATAGCCTGATGATTATCTGGTCCCCTTTAATTGCTCGCCACCTAGTGGTAACAGTAACCAGCAAAAGGTTTATCAGTAAATTATTGGTAGAACAGGTAGTTCATGCTTAACTATATTTAGCTGTGAGTGAATCTTTGCTCCCATATCTTTAGTTAAATACTGGGAATTGAATGTGTAGCACATGCTATGCATATAGTCTAAAACCTGAGCCATACCTTGAGCTGACTGCTTTTTTTTTTTTTTTTTGTCGGTCGTGGGGCTTGAACTCTGACTTGAAGAGCTCAAGGCGAGCACTCTACCACTTGAGCCACAGGGCCACTTCCGGTTTTCTAGTGGTTTATTGGAGATAAAAGTCTCCAGGGCTGGCTTTGAACCTCGATCCTCAGATCTCAGCCTCTTGAGTAGCCAGGATTACAGGCGTGGGCTAACTTCGCTTTTTTTTTTTTTTTTTTTTTTTTGCTAAATGCAATTTAATTTGTTCAAGGAAATAAGAGACTGTTTTAACCTGAGATATACTTGCAAATTATAGTATAATACTAGACGTCATTTGAAGTCTTCTTGATCCATGTCTTGTATTCTCCCCCAACCCTGGTACTGAGAATTGAATCCAGAGCCTCAAAACATGCTAGGTGGGGCTGGGAATGTGGCTTAGTAGTAGAGTGCTTGCCTAGCATGCATTAAGCCCCGGGTTCTATTCCTCAGTACTACATAGACAGAAAAGGCCAGAAGTAGCACTGTGGCTCAAGTGGTAGAGTGCTAGCATTCAGCAAAAGCAGGTCAGGGACAGTGCCCTGGCCCTGAGTTTAAGCCCAGGACTGGCAAAAAACAAACAAAAAAACATGCTAGGCAAGTGCTCTACCGCTTATGCCAACCCCTTTGTATTCTTACTAAGATAGGGTCTCCAGATTTGCTCTGGCTGGTCTCAAATCGCTTTTGTCTCCATTTTCTGAGTAGCTGTGATTACAGGTGTTCCACATCTGGCTACCTAAAACATATTCTGTAGTTTGTTAGGTACTTACTATATTATTTTCTGCTTAATTTCCTAATTTACTTTTAGCTAGGGTCTAGCTATGTATTTTAGGCTGCTTTGAACTTGTAATCTTCCTGTTTCAATCTCCTAGGTAAGTGCTAGAATTACAGGTACGTGTCACCCTGTCTGGCTATCTCAAATTAGTTAGGGTGGTTTTGAATTCTTTTTAGTTTTGTTCTGTACTGGATCTTCTTTTTTTTTTTTTTTTTGTCAGTCCTGGGGCTTGAACTCTGGGCTTCTGTGCTATTCCTCAGCTCTTCAGCTCAAGGCTAGCAATCTTGTGCATGAGCCATAATGCCCTTTCTGGTTTTCGAGTGGTTTATTGGAGATAAGAGTCTCATGGACTTTCCTGCCCGGGGTTGGCTTTGAACCTTGATCCTCAGATCTCAGCCTCCTGAGTAGCTAGGATTACAGGCATGAGCTACTGGTGCCCGGCTTGTACTGGATCTTGAACTCTGAGAGTGTGGCTCTCATCGGGCTTTTTCACTCATGGCTGAAGTGCTACCACTTGAGCCAGGACAACAGTTCTGGCCTTTTTTCCCCACCTGGTTAATTGGAGACTAGTTTCTTGCCAGGCATCAGTGGCTTAAGCCTGTGACTCTAGCTATTGAGGAGGCTGAGATCTGAGGATTGAGGCTCAAAGCCAGCTCATGCAGGAAATTCTCCAATTAACCACCAAAAAGCCAGAAATAGACTGTGGTTCATGTGGTAGAGGGCTAACCTTGAGTGCAAAAGCCCTAGGAGCAGCACACAAAAAAAGTTGCTTGGATTTGTATGGATGGCTTCAAACCTCATTTCTTGACCTCTTGAGTAGCCAGTAGAGGTTGAGCACCTGGCTCAGGTTAATATTTTTTGTCAGTCATGGGACTTCAACTAAGGGCCTTGGCTTGGCACTGTCCCTGAGCTACTTTTGACCAAGGATAGCGCTCTACCATTTTGAGCCGTATCTCTAATTCTGATTTTTCTGTTGGTTAATTGGAGATAAGAGCCTCACGAACTTTGCCCAGTATGGCTTTGAACAACAATGCTTACTTAGATCTCAGCTTCTTGAGTAGCTAGGATAACAGGTGTGAGCCACCAGTGCCTGGCCAGTTGTTTTTAAATAGCTTTTTTTCCTGGGGTGGTGGGGATTGAACTCAGGGCTCATTGAACTATTGCATAAAGGTATAGACGCAATTTTTGTTAAATTTTACACATTTTTTTTGTATTATCATAACAGGAAAAAAGTACTGTGAAAGGGATATGTTAACAAAACATCTAAAATTTGTGCAATCTGGTTTTCCCTTTCTCACATAGAAATGGTGGAATCAATGAAGAAAGTAGCAGGGATGGATGTGGAGCTGACAGTTGAAGAAAGAAATCTCCTATCTGTTGCATATAAAAATGTGATTGGAGCTAGAAGAGCCTCCTGGAGAATAATTAGCAGCATCGAACAGAAAGAAGAAAACAAGGGAGGAGAAAACAAACTAAAAATGATTCAGGAATATCGGCAAATGGTGAGGGTTTTTGTATGTAAGTGTGTGTGCTGGTGAGGCTTGCATTCAGGACCATTTCCATAATGCATACAGTGTGAACCATTAACCTCACTATCATGTCATTTTCCCTTCTATTTTTTTCCCCTGGTCATAGAGCTTGAGAACTTTGGGCCTGGGCACTATTCCTGAGCTCTTCAGCTCAAGGCAAGTGTTCTCCCACTTGAGCCACAGAGCTACTTCGGGTGTTCTGGTGGTTTATCAGAGATAAGAATCTCACTGACTTTCCTGCAGATCTTCCTGCCCGGGCTGGCTTTGGACCTCAATCCTCAGATCTCAGTCTCCTGAGTAGCTAGGATTACATGCCTGAGCCACTGGTGCCTGGCTCCCTTATTCTTTTTTGTTGTCGTTGATTGTCGGGGTGGAACTGTGGGCCTGGGCGCTGTTCCTCAGCATTTCAGCTCAAGGAAAGCGTTCTACCACTTGAACCACAGAGCCACTTCTGGCTTTTTTCTGCTTATGTGGTGCTGAGGAATCGAACCCAGGGTCTCACGCATGCAAGGCAAGCACTCTACCACTGAGCCTTCCCAGCGCTCCCTTATTCTTTTTTCCCTCCGGTCTGGGGCCTGAACTCTGGGCCTGGGTGCTGTCTCTCAGCCCTTCAGCTCAAGGCTAGCACTCTACCACTTGAGCCACAGTGCCACTTGCGGCTTTTTTTTTTTCCTGCTTATGTGGTGCTGAGGAATTGAACCCAGGGCCTCATGCATACAAGGCAAACACTCTACCACTGAGCCACCTTCCCAGCCCTCCCTTATTCTTTCTAAAACAATTTTAACAAGCTTTGTTTTCATACATTCATAAAGTACATCAACCTGTGTGTGTGTGCTTGTGTGTGCGTGTAAGTTTGTGCACGTTTTGGTTGGGTACTGAGGTGTGAACTCTGAGTCTAGGCACTATCTCTGACCTCTTGCTCAAGGACACCACCACTCTACCATTTGAGCTATAGCTCTACTGCTAGCATTTTTGTGGTTAATTGGAGATAAGAGTCTCAAGGACTTTCATGCCTTGGCTAGCTTTGGATGGTGATTCCCAGATCTCAGCTTTCACTCAGGATTACAGGCTTGAGTGACTGACATCTGACTTTGTATTTTTTTTTTTAATTTTTTTATTTTTTGGTCTGGTTGTGGGGCCTGAACTCTGGGCCTGGGCGCTGTCCCTCAGCTCTTCAGCTCAAAGCTAGCGTTCTACCACTTGAGCCACAGTGCCACTTCTGGCTTTTTTTTTCTTATGTGGTGCTGAGGAATCGAACCCAGGGCCCCATGCATGCAAGGCAAGCGCTCTACCACTGAGCCACCTTCCCAGCCCATGACTTTGTATTTTTATTTACTTATTTATTTATTTACTTATTTATTTTTTGTCAGTCGTGGGGCTTGAACTCTGGGCCTGGGAGCTGTCCCTCAGCTCTTCAGCTCAAAGCTAGCACTCTTCCACTTGAGCCACAGTGCCACTTCTGGTTTTCTAAATGGTTTATTAGAGATAAGAGTTGTACAGACTTTCCTGCTCAGGTTGGCTTTGAACCGTGATCCTCAGATCTCAACCTCCTGAGTAGCTAGGATTACAGGCATGAGCCACTGGGGCCCAGCTGACTTTGTATTTTTTTTTTTGGTCGTGGGGCTTGAACTCTGGGCTTGGGCGCTGTTCCTTTGCCCTTCAGCTCAAGGTGAGTGCTCTACCACTTGAGCGACATTGCCACTTCCAGTTTTCTAGTGGTTTATTGGAGATAAGAGTCTCACAGACTTTCCTGCCTGGACTTTCCTGCCTGGGCCCGGGCCGTGACCCTCAGATCTCAGCCTCTTCAGGAGCTAGGATTATAGGCATGAGCTACCAGTGCCCGGCTGTATTTTTATTAGATCATTGATGCTGCTTTGTATGTTTGCACACATGTATATTTGCATGCAGGTGCATGCATGTGCCAGTACTGGGGTTTGAATTCAGGGCTTTCATGCTGTTACTTAGCTATTTTTTTCCCTCAAGTATGTTCTACCACTTGGGACATACCTCTACTTCTGGAATTTCTTGCCCAGGTTGGCTTTGAACCTTGATCCTCAGATCTCACCCTCCTAAGTAGCTAGGGTTAGAGGCATGAGCCACTGGCACTTATTTTTCTTACTGTTTCTTAAATATTAATGTTGATTTTGTGTGTATATGTGCATGTTGTATGTGTATATGTATGTTGTGGGGCTTGAACTTGGGGCCTGGGTACTCTCTCTGAGCTCTTTTTGCTAAGGCTAATGCTCTATCACATTGAGCCACAGAGCTACTTTGGGTTTTCTGGTGGTTAATTGGAGATAAGAGTCTTAAGGAATTTTCCTGCCTGAGCTGGCTTTGAACTGCAATCCCCAGATCTCAGCCACTTGAGTAACTAGGATTACAGATGTAAGCCACCAATGCCCAGCTAGATATTGCTTTTAATTTAGAGCTTTGGTAGTTTTTGTGCTGGTACTGGGGCTTTAATGCAAGGCCTCCCACTTTAGTTTGGCTTTTTCCTGCATGGCTACTGTCACTTGAGTCATGCCTCCAGTTCCTGGTTCCATTCCTCTTTCTACTGAAATTTTTTTTTCTTTTTTGAGGTGCTAAGTATCAAACTTGGGTTCCTGCGCATGCTAGATAAATGCTGAAAGTTTTACCGTGTCCCAGTTTGTATTAGAGATTATTAATTTAGCTGCTGGGTACCAGTGGCTTACACCTGTATTCCTTGCTAGTCAGGAGGCTGAGACCTTAGGACCATAGTTTGAAGCCAGTGTGGGCAAAAAAATTCCCATGAAGCTGTGTTCCGGTGGCTCACGCCTGTAATCCTAGCTACTCAGGAGGCTGAGATCTGAGAATCACAGTTCAAAGCCATCTCCAGCAGGAAATTTGTGAGACTCTTATCTCCCAATAAACCACTTAAAAAACCAGAAGTGGTGCTGTGGCTCAAGTGGTAGAGCACTAGCCTTGAGCTGAAGAGCTGAGGGACAGCTTTCAGGCCCAGAGTTCAAGCCCCATGACCGACAAAAAAAAAAAGTTCCCATGAGACTCTATATCCAGTTAACCACTTAAAAACTGGAAGTGGTGCTGTGGCTCAAAATGGTAGAGTACTAGCCTTGAGAAAAGAGATCTCAGGGACAAGGCCCGAGCTCAGAGTTTAGGCCCCATACTGGCCAAACATAAAAGCTGATCAGCTTGTAAAGATGTTTACTTTACCCAGTTTTTTAAAGGTTCTGTACATAGTTGGGTAGGTTCCAGTGGTAGACTTTCTGTATGACAGTGGTAGGAAGTGCTTGACAGCAAAACCAGTTGCATTATGAGCTGGGGAGTAAATAGGAAGAGAAATTGGGGCATTAAGCCATAGTAATATTCATTATCATTTTTAGTACAGAAATAAAATCACTTTTACTTTACAGGTGGTGATTGTTAACTGATTATGTCCTAATTCTTTTGAGTGTTTGAATTATGTCTCCGGCCTATAATTGTAAGTTGGCCTTAGATGTTGGACATTTTAGGTCACAGTCTGGTACTTCCCTGGACTAGAAATAACAGGATTTCAGGACAGAAGCAAATAATTTATTGTGCTAGAGACTGCAGAGGTTGGCATTCCATTTTTTTTTTTTTATTTTTTATTTATTTATTTTTTTGTCAGTCGTGGGGCTTGAACTCTGGGCCTGGGTGCTGTCCCTCAGCTCTTCAGCTCAAGGCAAGCGCTCTACCACTTGAGCTACAGCGCCACTTCCGGTTTTCTGGTGGTTTATTGGAGATAGGATTCTCACGGTGTCTCCTGCCCGGGCTGGCTTTGAACCACAATCCTCAGATCTCAGCCTCCTGAGTAGCTAGGATTACAGGCGTGAGCCACCAGCGCCCGGCTTCCATTTTTTTAATAGTAACTAAGGATTAGTCCCATAGCTTTACCCATACTAGGCAAGCACACTGTGCCTCTAATATATTTCCTAGAGCAGAAATCAATTTTGATCACTGTATAACCAAGCAAACAGGTTTAATTATTGCCCTTATGTTAGTAACTGTAAAATACTCCATTAACCTGGCATTCATATTTGGGTTAATTTAGTGAATACTTGAATGTCTCTTGTGTGCCATACAATTTGTTAGGTATTTTGGATCAAGAGATAAAATAAATCTGTATTTAACCAGAGATGAAATAAATCTATTTACTGTCCTTATGGATGCTTGTTCTAATTATTTTTTCTTTTTTTTTTTTTTTATTTTGTCAATTGCGGGCCTTGAACTCAGGGCCTGGGTGCTATGCCTGAGCCTCTTTTTGTGCTCAACGGTAGTGCTCTATCATTTGAGCCACACATAGCACCACTTCTGGGTTTTGAGTGGTTATTTGGAGCTAAGAGTCTCACAGGGACTTCTGCACTTTCTGACTATTCACTGTGATCCTGAGATCTCAGCCCTCCTGAGTAGATAGGATTATAGATGTGAGCTACTGGTGCCTGGCTAATTGCTGTTTTTGAAACAATAGAAAATATTAGGGTTTCCGTCAATGTAAGGGCTAAGAATTGTTTTATAAACTTCAGTACAAAATTGGAGATAGTGATATAACTCAAAGTTCTTAACTAACATCCTCAAGGCCCTTCATTTAATCTCTAGCACTGCAAAAAATAAGTTGTAAAACAGGTCTTCTAAGTAGTTAGGTAACAATCTCAAGGAGTCTATAGAGAGTAAGTTGGGATACTGGTACCCTTAGATATGTTAGAACAAGGAATATGGGCTGGCTGTAGATTAGTTTGGTGTAAAGGATGAGAAAATGAGGAAGATAAATAAGATGGAGGTACTGAAGAAGGAAGTCTTAAAGAAATAGCTGTATGTACTTAGTGAATAAGGGGGATGGACATGGATATGTGTTGATGACAAATTGATGAGCTTTTTCAGGAAGAGGGATTTGGAATAATGAGACGTAAGGATACTCGGTATGTAGAATCTTGCTAGGCAGGCCCCCTACCTATCACCCTCGAACCATATGCCTGCCCTTCTCTTGTTGGTTATGTTGAGGGTCTTGGTTGTTGCCCTTGCCAGTCTGGGATGCAATCCTATTTCTATTTCCCCACATAACTAGGATTGACAGGCACACCAGTGGTTGAGATGGAGTCTCACAAAATTTTTTGCCTTTAACTGGCCAAGGGACCTCAATCTCCCAGTATCTACCTCCCAAGGATACTTAGATCTTTATAATTATAGATTTAACTGTATAATCTAACATTGTCTTTGTTAGTGAATAGAAAATGGAGGGCAAAATGACTGTTTAGGCATGCTGTAGCATTTTAGGTGTATTATAAACTAATAAGAGAGATGAATGCTGTTACTGGTTGTATATGCATAGTTTAGGGAATACAAGTTCTGAATTTTGATTGTTTTTCACACCCTGCCTGGGTTTAAGTCCTTATTTTACTGTATCCTCTATAGTACTGAGATTTGAACTCAGGGCTTTGTACTTGCTAAGCAGTCACTCTACTTCTTGAGCCATGTCCCTGACCTTGTTTATCAAATAAGGTCTTATATTTCTACCAGGACCAGCATGGACTGTAATCGCCACCCATACCCATGTAGCCAGGTAGACAGATGAACATCATGCCGAATTTTATTGTTTGAACGAGGATCTCACTTAGGTTGGCCTCAACTCTTCTTGTTCTTCACCTCCCCATACCTGATTATAGGTGTTGAGACATTGTGCCTCTCCCCTTTTTGTGGTGCTGAGAATTGAACCCAGGGTCTTGAATGCTAGGAAAGTGCCCTACCACCAAGCCACATCCTTAGCCCCACTCTTCTGGATTTTTTTTTGTTGTTGTTTTTGTTGGTTGTGGGGCTTGGACTCGGTCTAGGCACAGTCCCTGAGCTCTTTTGCTAAAGACTAGTGCTCTCCCGCTGAGTCACAGCTCCACTTGCGGGTTTTGAGTGGTTAATTGGTGGTAAGCATCTCACTGGGACTTTAAGGCTATGGCTGGCTTCAAACCGCAATCCTAAAGTGTGTCAGCCTCCTGAGTGGCTGGGATTACAGGTGTGAGCCACCAGTGCTCAGCTGATTTTCTTTTCCTCTTTATGGTACCGGGATTTGAACTCAGGCTCGAGCATGGCAGATGATCTACTGCTTGAACCACACACACAGACAGTGCTCAAGTTCTGTATATTAATCTGTTTTCCTATTTAAGTGGCTATTTCATAATGAGTTTATTCATAGAAGCTGCATGTACTAAGAAGCAATAAGCATTTCAGTGTTATTGAGGTATGATTGTGCATCCAGTGTATGTGCATGTTTTAAGGAGGAAAGATACTTCTATAATCTGAATACAGCTTTTCTCTGCTTTTGTATCAAGGATGAGGGAGGTTTGTAGAGAGATGTGTAATATATTAAAATCAGTGATAGGTAGACTATGAAATACTTCTAGGTAGAATATGAAATACTTTGTATGATTTCTAGACTTAAACATTCTGTTTCTCCCCCTCCCAGGTTGAGACTGAACTAAAGTTAATCTGTTGTGACATTCTGGATGTACTGGACAAACACCTCATTCCAGCAGCTAACACTGGCGAGTCCAAGGTTTTCTATTATAAAATGTAGGTTCTATACTAGTAGGGAAAACAATGTAAGAGTAAAACTTGGCCTTAGCCAATGACTTTTTAAATGTAGGTTTTCAGCTTTTATTTAAGCTATTGTTTTTTGCTTTTGTTTTTGTTGTTGTTGTGTTGCCAAGGCTTGAAATCAGTGCCTCATACTCTTCTTGCTTGGTTTGTTTGCTCGTGGTAGGCTCTTTACCACTTGAGCCACTTTATCTAGTTAACTGGAGATTGAGTTCTGGTGGGCAAGTACTTTTCTGCCTTAGCTGGCTTTGAATTGCAATCCTCTGAATATCTAGGATTACAACTGTGAGCTACTGGCTCCTGGCTAAAAAAGTTATTTGCAAATTTACTTCTAATAATTAACAGTACTAGATTTAAAATGGTCAGACTATTATAAAAAATGTATTAACTCTGGCTTTTGTGGACTCCTTTGCTCTGATTATACCTATACCTTTTACAGTGCAATTTTTACTTTTTATAGAGTAAAGTGAGGACTGGGGCTGTAGTTTAGTGGTAGAGTATATGCTTAGCATGCTTGAGGTCCTGGTTCAATCCTGAGTACTCTTAAGTAGAGTAATAAAACTAGAAAGGTTTAATTTTATGTTTTTTTTTTTTTTTGGTCCGGTCGTAGGGCCTGAACTCTGGGCCTGGGCGTTGTCCTTCAGCTCAAGGCTAGCACTCTACCACTTGAGCCACAGCGTCACTTCTGGCTTTTTTCTTTTTGCTTATGTGGTACTGAGGAATCGAACCCAAGGCCTCAGGCATGCAAGGCAAGCACTCTACCACTGAGCCATCTTCCCAGCCCCTAATTTTATGTTTAATAAACTTGTGTCTTTATTTCGAATCACTTAGTTTTACTCTGTCAATTGGTGTCTGCTTTGTTGGTTTTTTTTTTTTTTGTGTGTGTGTGTGTGTGGTTTTGTGGGTTTTTTCCCCCTGCAGTTAATGTCTCGGAGTTTGAGTATATTGGTTAATATATAATATCTTAGGAAAAGAACTGATCATTTCTGAGTGTTTAAATTTTACTAAAGCATGCTTCAATTTTAAATATTTTTATCACATTTTACATGAAATAAAAAAAAATTTTAAATTTGTTTTTCTTTCAAAGCATTGTTTAATTCCAGTTTTGTTTTGTTGTAGGAAAGGGGACTACCACAGGTATCTGGCTGAATTTGCCACAGGAAATGACAGGAAGGAGGCTGCGGAAAACAGCCTAGTGGCTTATAAAGCTGCTAGTGATATTGCAATGACAGAACTTCCACCAACGCATCCCATCCGTTTAGGTCTTGCTCTCAACTTTTCTGTATTCTACTATGAAATTCTTAATTCTCCTGACCGGGCCTGCAGGTATGCTATGGATGAAAGCAAAAGCGCCGCAACTCCCCCCACCACCCCACCGCTCCTTTCTTTTTGACAGTTTCACTCTGTAGCTTTGGCTGGGCTTGAACCTCCTGATCCTTCTGCTGAGATAACAAATGTCTACAACAATATTTGATAGACAAAAATCACTCAGTGTGAAGTAAAAATTGTTCCAGGAGGCTGGGTGCCAGTTTCACGCCTATAATCCTAGCTACCTAGGAGGCTGAGATCTGAGGACTGCTGTTTAAAGCTAGCTCTGCAGGAAAATCTAGTGAGGATCTTAACCTCTAGCTAACCACCAGAAAACTGGTTCAGTTCCTCAGTACCACATAATAAAGTCAGAAGTGGCACTGTGGCTCATTAGCCTTGAGCTGAAGAGCTGAGGGACAATGTCCAGGCCAGAGTTCAAGTCCCATGACCTACCAAAAATATTGTTCTAGAGGAACAGATTGCCACTTATTTTTCTATCTTTGACAGAGGGGCTCCTAAGTTTTTTTTTTTTAAAAACCTCAGCAGAACTACTTTGGATAATACAATGATAGGCCGATTTCTTTCTTTCTTTCTTTCTTTCTTTCTTCTCTCTCTTTCTCTCTCTCCGTCTCCCCCCCCCCCCCCCCCCCCCCCTTTCTTTGCCAGTTCTGGGGCTTGGACTCAGGGCCTGGGAACTGTCCCTGAGCTTTGTTTTCCCTTAAAGCTCTACCACTTGAGCCACAGCACCACTTCTGGCTTTTTCTGTTTATGTTGTACTGAGGAATTGAATCCAGAGCTTCAAGTATGCTAGGCAAGCACTCTACCACAAAGTACAATGACAAAACCTAGATCAACATATATCCCATTAACTTAAGTCTTGCTCTCAACTTTTCTATATACTACTGTGACTTCCAGATAAAGCCTAGAGTTTTCCCTTCCTCTACTTGCCATGTAGCTGGAACCATAGGTGTACTTTATCATTTCCCTCACTCTTACCCCCTCTTGATTTTGAGATGAAGGCTTAGTAAGTCTTTTACTGGCCTGGAACCACATCCTCTTTTCTCTGCCTCCAGTACGTGAGATTACACACCTGAGTCACCTCATCTAGGTTTTTATTTTATTTATTTATTTTTGTTGGTCATGGGCTTGAACTCTGGGCCTGAGCGCTGTCCCTCAGCTCTTCAGCTCAAGGCTGGTGCTCTACCACTTGAGCCACAGTGCCTCTTCTGGTTTTCTGGTGGTTTGTTGAGGTAAGAGTCTCGTGGCCAGCCGGGGCTGGCTTTGAACCCTGATCCTCAGATCTCAGCCTCCTGAGTAGGAGTAGTTAGGATCATAGGCATGAGCCCCTGCTGCCCAGCTTAGGTCGTAATTTTTGTTATCATTGATGAAGATAATGTTTAAAGATACAATCTCCTTGTTAATATACACTGGCCTGAAACTAGCATTCCTTTTGGGATTACAGGCATACTTTCTTTTTTGGGGGGGGGGGGTCCGGTTGTGGGGCTTGAACTCTGGGCCTGGCGCTGTCCCTCAGCTCTACCACTCTAGCTAGCACTCTACCACTTGAGCCATAGCACCACTTCCGGCTTTTTTTCCCCCCTGCTTATGTGGTGCTGAGGAATCGAACCCAAGGCTTCATGCATGCAAGGCAAATGCTCTACCACTGAGCCACCTTCCCAGCCCAGGCATATTTCAATAATAATTTCATAGTGATCAGGCCCTTTTTATGATTTAAAAGTTTTTAAATTCACCAGTGTCACACACACATACATACATGCATACATGCTTTCTTATTACTGCTACAGGAGTTTGAACTCAGGGCCTCCCGCTCTTGCTCAGCTTTTTCAACCAAATACCAGTTGAGACATACTTCCAATCTTGTTGTTTTGCTGGATAGTTGGAGTTTATGGCATTACAGATTTGAGCTACTGGTGTCCTAACTGTTTCTCACATTTTTATTTCAGTTTATTCCAATATTTTTTCTTACTATAGTTACAAATTTAGCATGAATACATTTTTTTTATTCATAGTAATGCTGGGGATAAGGACTTAACTAGTTTAGATAAGCACTTGTTATCTCCAGCCTGGGAATGTTTTTTACCTTTTGGGGAAGAGGATTTGCCAAACCAGTTTGAAATCAGGACCTGACTTTTGCTGATTAGAGATGATGTCTTCTGGCTTTTCTTTTCTTTTCTTTGTTTTTTAGTTTTATTTTTTTTTTTTTAATTGTGAAAATACTGTACAGAGGGGTTACAATTACATGGGCAAGATAATGAGTACCTTTCTTAGCAAGTATTGTAGCTTCCTCCTTTGTTTTCCCATCCAATCCTCTCTCCTGGCCCCCCCCCCCCCCCCCTTCCTGGGCTTTTCTAATCACTGCCAGCCTTGAACCTCAGTCCTCCAGGGCTCAGCTTCCTGAGTTAGATACATGCATGATCTTCTAGCAAGCCAGCCCAGACAGGAAAGTCCATGCAACTCTATCTCCAAAGCTGTTAAGTGGTGCTTTTTTGGGGGGGTAATTGGAGATCAAATTTGTTCAAGTGGTAGAGTGCTACTCTTTAAGTACAAAAGCTCAGGGGCAGTGTTCAAGCCTCAGTGCTGAGACACAAAAAAAACCCCAACAAAAACTGGCAAGCAGAACAACACAAAATCCTAAACCTTTATTCCAGATTTATTTTCACCAACTATACCTATTTTTCTTCTTTTTTTTTTTTTTTGGGTCCGGTTGTGGGGCCTAAACTCTGGGCCTAAGCGCTATCCCTCAGCTCTTCAGCTCAAGGCTAGTGCTCTACCACTTGAGCCACAGCGCCACTTCTGGCTTTTTTCTTTTTGCTTATGTGGTGCTGAGGAATTGAACCCAGGGCCTCAGGCATGCAAGGCAAGTGCTCTACCACTGAGCCAACTTCTCAGCCCACCTATTTTTCTTTTCTATCATTGTTACTACTACCCATGGTAATAACTAAAAGACCATTAGCTAACTTTTTAAGATCTTTTTTTTTTGGTGGATAGTGGAGCTTAAACTGGGCCTACGGGCCATTTCCAGTTTTCTGATGGCTAAAATTGGAGATGAGTCTGATGGACTTTCCTGCCTAGGCTGGCTTTGAACTGCCATCCTCAGATCTCAGCCTCCTGAGTAGCTAGGATTACAGACGTGAGCCACTGATGGCTTTTTTTGGTTGGTCATGGGGCTTGAACTCTGGGCCTGGGCACTGTCCCTGTGCTCTTCAGCTCAAGGCAAGCTCTTCAGCTCAAGGCGAGAGCTCTGCCCCTTGAGCCACAGCACCACTCCTGTTTTCTGGTAGTGTATGGAGATAAGAGTCTCACAGAGTTTCCTGCCCAGGCTGGCACCCAGCTCCTGATGACTTTTTATAGGTACTATTTTAGTTTTTTAACTTTAATTCTTACGTTTATTTCAGGTTGGCAAAAGCAGCTTTTGATGATGCAATTGCAGAACTGGATACTCTGAGTGAAGAAAGCTATAAGGACTCTACACTTATCATGCAGTTGTTACGTGATAATCTGACACTATGGACTTCAGACATGCAAGGGGATGGTAAGCAAACTTTCAGAAGTTAGGTCTTTTAGTTCTTAGGTTATTTTAGAAATGACTTTGTATTTCTATAAACTATAGTTTCCACTTAGTGCCTTTCTGTTAATAAACTATTTAAATTTTAATTACTGTCTTCATAAAAAAAAGAAACAAAAGAAGTATGATGTTTAATATTGTAAAGTGAAAATCTGTGTGAAGAAATGACTTTTTGTCAGTTGTGGGGTTTGAACTCTAGGTCTGGGCACTGTCTCTCAGCTCTTCAGCTCAAGGCAAGTGCTCTACCACTTGAGCCACAGCGCTACTTCCAGTCTTTCTGGTGGTTTATTGGAGATAAGAGTCTCATGAACTTTTCTTGCCTGGGCTGTCTTTGAACTGTGATCCTCAAATCTCAGCCTCCTGAGTAGGATTACAGATGTGAGCCACCTCTGTCCGGCAAGAAAGGACTTTTATTATTTTTACATTGCTAGGGATTGAACCCCCAGCCTCATGCTTGCTAGGCAAGTACTTCAATTAGAATCCTAGTCCTGGAAAAGGGAAGGAATTTCCGCCTTTTGCTAGTATTTGAATTTTTAAAGTTTTTCTTTCAATTTATTTTTATTTTTATTTTTGTTTGTCATGGGGCTTAAACTCAAGGTGGGGCACTGTCTGAGCTTTTTTGCTCAAGGCTAGTACTCTACCACTGTGAGCCACAGCCCCACTTAGACACTTTTCTGGTGATTTATGAGTCTTACAGACTTTCCTACCAGGGCTGACCATCAAAATATGATCCTTACATCTCAGCTTCCTGAATAGCTAAGATTATAGCCATGAGCCACTGGTGCTAGTTGTTTTCAAATTTATATAAAATTTTGTTAATAGACTTACTTCACACTGTGTTCTGAAAGCTAGATAATATAAGCAATATGGGGAGAAAGCAGTGGGTACAGGGAGCCCCCATTGAGGTTAAAATAGTTAATTGGGGCTGGGCATTGGTGGCTTATATCTGTAATCCTAGTTACTCAGGATGCTGAGATCTAAAGATCAATGTTCAAAACCAGCTCAGGCAGGAAAGTCAGATTTTTTTTTGGGGATGGGGTTCTGTTGTGGGATTAACTTGGGGCCTGGGTACTGTCACTGAGCTCTTTTTGCTCAAGGCTGATGCTCTACCACTTGGAGCCATAGTGCCACTTCCTGTACTGGTGGTTAATGGGAGATAAAATTCTCGCAGACTTTCCTGCCCAGGTTGGCTTCAAACCACAGTCCTTAAATCTCAGCCTCCTTAGTAGCCAGGATTATACACGTTAGCCACTAGTGCCCAGCTGTGAGACTCTTTATTTCCAATTACCCACCAAAAAACCAGAAGTGGTACTGTGGCTTAAAATGGTAGAGCACTAGCCTTTTAGCAAAAGAACTCAGTGAGAGCACCTGGGCCCTGAGTTCAAGCCCCACAAGCAACAACATAAGTTACTTAGGGAATATCTTCATTGTGGAAATCTGGAAAGGAGCTTACTTTCTCTTTGAATTATATAGAGAAGTGAATTGTTTCCATCTTTAGGTCTATTTAAGAGGTATAATGTGCCTGTTATTAAGTTTTCAGTTGGAAATAGAGCATTTTACAAAACTTAATTTGTGATTTGGTATGTGAATATTTAAAATTACAAATTTGTCACATTTATTGATTTTTTTCTATCTTGGAAGACTTACTTTCGCTTCCCCTTTCTCCTCTCCCCTCCCCCTCCCATCTTTCTTTTTGGTGCTGGGGATAGACTCCAGGTCCTTGTGCTACATGATAAATAACATGTTTTGCCACTTAGTGATACCCTTATCCCTAAAGATAATTTGTTTCTGTGTAGATGGCAATGAAGTATAATGTGACCATTCATTATGAGATAATATAGTTGCTCGTATGGATTGGAAATCAAGTTTGTTAATAGTTAGAGCTAAAATTTCATTGAGAGCTATCCAAACTGAAGAAAATGTATTCCTTCATAATTTGTCTTTGTTGGTCAGAAATGGTAATACTTTTCAAAAACTACCTCTGAAAGTGTATATCCAGGCATGTGTGTTCCCGGTTTCTTCCTTAAAGATGAGTCAGATTTCTGGCTATGGAACTAACATGAGAATTAGGCAGCTCAGCTTCTAAAACTCCCTAGCTCTGTTGAGTAAATACAATGTATTTTTGTTATGATATGTAACCTATTTACACACTTCCAACTCTGCTAGATGGAGCTACAGAATACTTTTCCATGTAGCACTTCAAAGACTAGCCCTTGGAATGCAAAACCAATTTATCATCTCTGAGCTAGGATTATTCTATCTTTAAATTTGTTTATATTTTAATCAAGAATGGCCAAACAGCCGTGCAGTCTTCACAGTTGATGATTTGAGAACGCTCTGCCTCTTTTAGGGGGTGAAAAGCATGTACAGAGTTTGGTAAATGGTCTTAGTCATTGCTCTTTCCTAAACTATTTTAAGGGTGAAGTAAAATAAGCATCTGGAGTAAAATACTTTTCTGTATGTATGTGATACCCAGTGCCAGGGATTTATGGCCACTCAGCCACGCAGGATGCTAAGATCTGAGGATTACTGTTCAAAGCCAATCTCTGTAGGAAAGTTTGTGAGATACCTTTTCTAATTAACCATGAAAAGGCCAGAAGTAGCCAGTTGTTGGTAGCTCACACCTATAATCTTAGCTATCAGGATGCTGAAATCTGAGGATTGCAAAGCCAGCCTGGGCAGGAAAAGACATTTTGTTTTGTTTTTTGGTTGTAGGGCTTGTATTTGGGGCCTGGGTGCTGTACTTGAGCTTCTTTGTGCTCAAGGCTCAAGCCATTAGCGCCACTTCCAGTTTTTGAGTGGTTAATGGGAAATAAGAGTTTCATGGAGGCCTGGGAAGGTGGCTCAGTGGTAGAGTGCTTATCTTGCATGCCTGAGGCCCTGGGTTCGATTCCTCAGCACCACATAAACAGAAAAAAGCCGGAAGTGGTGCTGTAGCTCAAGTGGTAGAGCGCTAGCCTAGAGGTGAAGAGCTGAGGGACAGCGCTCAGGCCCAGAATTCAGGCCCTATGACCGGACCCAAAAAAAAAAAAAAAAGAGTCTCATGGACTTTCCTATCTGGAGTTAGCTTTGACCCGAGATCCTCAGATCTCAGCCTGAGTAGCTAGAACTGCAGGTGAGAGCCACTGGCACCACACCTGGAAAAGCCTTTTTCGTGTGATTCTGTTATTCAATTAACTACAAAAAGCTCATGCTTGGATTCTTAACTACTCAGGATGCTGAGATCTGAGGATCACTGTTGAAGCCAGCCTGGACAGGAAAGTCTATGAGACTCCTATCTCCAGTAAACTAGTTAAAAACAAAAAGGTGAAAGTGGAGCTGTGGCTCAACTGGTGAAGCACCAGCCTTGAGTAAAAAAAGCTCAGGGACAGCACTTAGGTCCTGAGTTTTTAAGCCCTGGAACTTACACAAACACAAAAATGTCTGTTTTATGGTTTTATGAAACGGCTCATCTTTAAACTACGTTAATGCATACACAAATACATACATACATATGGTGCCCATATTGGTGCTGGAACTTGGTACCTTGAACTCCTGGCTTTTTCACTCATAGCTGGTGCCTGTACCACTTAAACCATACCTCTAGTTGTGGGCTTTTGCTGATTAATGGGGGATAAGACAAATTTAGTCAGCTTTGAACTTCAGTCCTCCGGTAGGCCTCCTGAATAGCTAGGATTATAGGCTACCTGTACCTGGCTTAAACTACTTCCTACAAAGATGTTTATATGTTTCTTTAATTCTAGAACTTTTTTTGGTTGGTTGGTTGTGGGGCTTGAACTCTAGGTTGGGCGCTGTTCCTCAGCTCTTCAGCTCAAGGTGAGCATTCTGCCACTTGAGCCACAGCGCCACGTCTGGTTTTCTAGTGGTTTATTGGAGATAGAGAGTCTCACGGACTTCCCTTGAGAAGTAGGGGGGAGCTGGCTTTGAACTATGATCCTCAGATCTCAGCCTGTGGAGTATCTGGGATTACTGGTGTGAGCCACCAGCACCTGGCATTTTGTTGTTGTGGAAGGTTTAGTTGGGATTTATTTTAGTGTAACAGGGTTAAAGTAGGGAGAAATACAAAAAGAGAAATATTTCTCTCCCACCTCACAGGAAATAGGAATTAAAGACTCCTAGTTTTATTTCTAGAGAAACTTAGTTTAAGCTTTAGTACTTAATTCAGTCTAAAAGACTGATGTTGGTTAAAGACTAAATTTTAATTTAATATTTAGGAAATACTTCTAGTTTTTTTTTTTAACACAGTGAAGAAGCATGATAGCTTAGTGGAAAAAAAAGATTTTTTTAACATTCTAGTGAAATTAACTGAAACTTTCTGGAACCTACTATAATTGTTATGAATACTAAGACATTGTTTTATTGAAAATGTAGTACTACATTTATTTAAAAAAATTTTTTTGACATCTTCAGCTCAAGGCCAGCGCTCCACCACTTAGCCACAGTGCCACTTTTGGCTTTTTGGTTGTTAATTGGAGATAAGAGTCTCACTTTCCTGCTGGGGCTGGCTTTTCAACTGTGATACTCAGATTTCAGTCTCCTGAGTATCTGAGTAGCTAGGATTACAGGCATGAGCCACCTGCGCCTGGCAACTTTTTTTGTTGATTGTAGGGCTTGAACTCGGGGGCCTGGGTGCTGTCTCTGAGCTCAAGGCAAATGCTTTACCTACCACTTGAGGCATAGCACCACTTTGAATTGTTTTTGTTGTATATTCAGTGCTAAGTATGAAAGAACTGCAGTCATAGACTTTACAGTTTTTTAGAACGTTACTTTCATTTAGGTTAAGGGTACTTAGCTCATTTTTTTATTGACAAGTAATTTTTAAATGATTTTCCTATGAAAATAGGGTTAGAATTTCTATAGGTGGAAATAATGGAGGAAATATATGTGGTTTACCTACATACTTTTATGTCTTTGTGTTGAAAATATGCTAATATCTGTCCCATTGTGTTTATTTTGAGAGATCAGTACTCTTGTTTGTTTGTTTGTTTTTTTGGGGGGGGAGGGAATCCGGTCCTGGGGCCTGAACTCTAGGCCTGGGCACTGTCCCTCAGCTCTTCAGCTCAAGGCTAGCACTGTACCACTTGAGCCACAGCGCCACTTCTGGCTTTTTTCTTATGTGGTGCTGAGGAATTGAACCCAGGGCCTCATGCATGCAAGGCAAGCGCTCTACCACTGAGCCACCTTCCCAGCCCCAAGAGATCAGTACTCTTTTGAGTATGTTTGGTCCTTTACTCTAACCAGTAAATGGACTTTCATAAGGCCATAGTGGAAATGTACGCTGTCTCTGCCTGTTCTTCACCAAAATCTAGAAATAGTGGGTAAAGAAATACTTAGGGAAACCTTTTTTTCCTCTTTCCTATGTATCGTTGCATATTTATGCAGTTTAAAGACCAAAATCTGGCCAGGTTGCTTATGCCTGAGGTTGATGTGAGGATCACAGTTCAAAGCCATCATAGTCAAGAAAGTCCTTGAGACTCTTACCTCCAATTAACTATGCTAGAAAGTCAGATGTGGAGTTGTGGCTTATGTGGTAGAGTGCTAACTTTGAGCACAAAAGCTCAGAGACAGTTACAGAGGCCTTGTTCAAGGCTCCTTGGCTGCGCACACACACAAAGAAAAATCTTAACTTCCCTGTATCATTGATGTTTTCTTTTGTCCTGCTGTGTTGATTTTTCTGGTAATGTTGCTTTTCATATGATTGTTCTCCCTCCCTTTCTCCTTGCAATAGATTCCTAAAGGAAAATCCAACTCTTCCTTTCCTAAAATCTACTTTGTAAGTCATTATCATGGCACAGTGAATTCTGCTTTTAGTTTTGATTCTTCACTAATTATGCCTGCATATTATCATCCCGTTGCTTACAAAACTGCCTGTTCTACATTCCAAGGTGCTAAAAACTTTCTAAAACATCAATGGCCTGCTACTCTGCCTTTGTCTATTTGGGTGTGACTTGTGTGAAGATGTATTTATGCGATTTTCATTCCAAAGTTACTTGGGACTTTTGCCACATATAATGGTTGCTTAGCAGTGAATTAGTGTGTTATAGTGCTATATTGTAGTTTATTGTGGCAGTGTATTCCTGTTGAAAGTCTTTCGAGAGTGAATGATGTGTTCTTAGCCTGAATCTATTATTGTTGTTTGGGGAACACTTGGTGTCTTTCTTTCCTTCATAAATGGTTGTTTTTGTCTTTGCATGTCTCTGTTTTGTAAGTTAGAAATGAGTGCTTTAACTTTTTAAGAGTCATTAATCTAAATACATGTGTCACAGAAGTAATTTTAAAACTATCTTTACTTAATCCTTAATGCTATGACATTTCCTGCTTGTAATACCAAGATACTTAGATTGCTTGAAAGCTGGCCTCAGTGTATTTCACATTTAGGAAGCCAGTCTTAGTGTTGAACATCCCAATTGAATAATTTAACAGGCATTATGAATGAATTGGGTAGGTTGTCAGCTGAACTGTTTACATGGTTGTTGGGCTTATTTTAATTTTTTTCTTAAATTTGTGGTTTAGAACTTACTGTGTATGTGTATTATTTTTATGCAGTGGGGAGGTTGGAGCACAGAGCCTTGTGCATGCTAAATACATACTCTAACTCTGAGCTCTTTTCCCAACTCCTGGTTAATTTATTTATTTTGATTCAAACTAGTAACTACAAGGAATTGTTAAGTGTGGTGCAAGTACAAGAAAGACTGATTTTTATCTGGTTTACTATCTTAGCAAAGGCCTTTGCATGCTTCATTTCGGCTGATTTGATTAATGCTTAGCAGGTAGAAGACCCTCCAAAGATTGGCTTTTTGTTGCATGTCCTAGTGTGGTTGAAATTCCCTAGGCTAGTTACTTGTTATATTCAAACAGAAAAGAGAGATAGCATGAGAAAACTGGTCCAAATGCTCTTCTTTAATAACCTCAGTGGTCTGGTTTACTTTAAGCATGCTGTTTCCTTCTGAAATGAGAAATCTGGTTTGAGTTTGATATATGGTAGGTCAAAAAACAAAATATCAAATGTTCATTTACAACAGCAGGATACATAGAAACGCCTGTGGAGCATTTTACTAATCAGTTAAATTTTATTGAAGCATTTCTTATAATGAGCTTGTAAGTAAATTAGATTTTGTTCAAACACAAAACCAGAAACTTGGTTCTTGAGGAGGTTATTGAAAAAGGTATCTGATCCAGGATCTACATGAAAGCTTGAAAATCATTTTAAGAATATGGATACCTTGGCTGTGTACTTTAAAGAGCTTATTTAGCTTAAATATCATTGACTTCGTGCATCAGTTTTTGGTTTTTGACTTGATATATATCAGGATTGTGATCAGCAGCCCTTCTTGGTTTAAGCATCTCAGATGTCAAGGATGATTGAAGTTCTTTGCCTGTCTGTATTTAATGCAATTTAGCCAAAAAGAAGAAATCTTCATGCTTTCAGAACATCTATATGACTACTATAGCTTAATAGTCAAATCTGATAGAATTTTGTCTTCCTCCTCACAGGTGAAGAGCAGAATAAGGAAGCGCTGCAGGATGTGGAAGATGAAAATCAGTGAGACATAAAAGCCAACAAGAGAAACCATCTCTGACCACCCCACTCCTCCCCACCCTGCCCTTGGAAAGTCCCCATTGTCACTGAGAACCATGAAATCTGACTTTCACATTTGGTCTCAGAATTTAGGTTCCTGCCCTGTTGGTTTTTTTTTTTTTTTTTTTAAACAGTTTTCAAAAGTTCTTAAAGGCAAGAGTGAATTTCTGTGGATTTTACTGGTCCCAGCTTTTAGGTTCTTTAAGACACTAACAGGACTGTGTAGAGGCTTTTTCAGCATTACTGTATTGTCTCCATGCCAGGTGTGGCAAGATCATTAGAAATGGAAATTACATTTGAAAGCCATTAGACTTCTAGGTGATGCATCTTATAAAAGAGATTGATCACACTATAGAGGCATATGTGAATCATTTTTCCTTTTTCTAATTGTTTAAATCGAATTTTATACCAATGTTTAAATTTAATTGGGCGTTAACTTGAAGTGGTTAAAGATTGTTTTGGGGGGAGTTTGTTGCAATGGTTTTGCTGTAAAAAGTGTTTCAAACTCTGCTGAAGTGTTGGCTGAAAAGTTGAGTGCTGGTAACAGTTCAACAGTCCGTGGCTGCTCATTCTTGCCTACTTTTTCTCTCCCTCCGAAGCAGGTTAGCATTGAAGGTGGTATGGAGAAGCCTGCATGCGTGTTCAGTTCTTTGTTTCTTCTTCCCTCTCCCCTCCCTCCCTCCCTCCCTCCCTCTCTCTCTCTCTCTCTCTCTCTCTCTCTCTTTTTCCCTCCTTCCCTCCTTCCCTACCTCCCCTCCCTCCCCTCCTTCCCTTCCTCCCTACCTTCTTTCCTTCTTTCCTTCGCTCGCTCAACCTCTTTTGTTCAGTATGTGTAACTTGAAGCTAATTTGTACTACTGGATATCTGACTGGAGCCACAGATACAGAATCTGTATTGTTCTTACTGAAACACAGCATGGAATTAACATTAAACTTAAATAAAACAAACCTAAATGAAAAATGCCAAATACATTGCGCCTCCATCCTTTATACTTCTAAAATAAAATCTCTAGTCCAAACATATTGACAGTATTATGTTTGTCTGAATGTGAAAGATATACCCCGTTCCAAAAATCATTTGTGTTTCCTCAAGATGTATATTTTGGAAAAAAGAAAAAAAAACATTGCTTGTAATCTGGTTGTGAAGAATACTGAGTAATTTAAGTCAGTCTATTACATGTCCTGTTTTCCAAGCCAGTTAACACAGTATTTATGTTAATCATTAAAGTATAACATGTGTATTTAACACAGGTGTAATTATGAATCATTTTCTGCCATGGAGTTTTGGGTGCAACCAATCAGACTGAATTCTTGGGCTGAAGTAAAATGGTATATTCCCAGAAAATACTGAAGTCCATTCCCAGTGTTCCTTCTTACCAAAAATGTATGCATAAGTAGTTTCTTCCAGAGGTAGTTTATGTATAACCATACATAAAGCATACTTGCTTTATGTCTCCTATACTGGTCTTATGTTAACATGGACATACACCTGAAGTTTGCAAAGCCAGTTTACTTTTGAACAAGTTCTTTCTTTGCTGTAGTAAATACTCAATATTTCTGTTTAATTGAATTTTGTGTGTGTAAGATATAGATATTGCATGTCAGAAAACGTTTTCCTCTCTGGGAATGGGAAGGGAACACAGTATTCAGTTGGTAAGTGTTTCTTCCCCACACTTGACTATTTTTGTCAGTCATGGGACCTAAATTCTGGGCCTCGGCACTGACCCTGAGCTCTTCAGCTCAAAGGTAGTGCTCTGCCGCTTGAGCCACAGTGCCACTTCTGGCTTTTTCTGCTTATGTGGTGCTGAGGAGTCGAACCCAGGGCCTTATGCATGCATTCAAGGCAAGCACTCTACCACTGAACCACCTTCCCAGCCCCACATTTGACTTTTTTAAATGGCATGAACAAATATAGTCCACGTTTGAGATCCTAGTAGCCTAGAAAAATTGTAAAAGATCCAACCTGTGAGTGGTTTTGTAGGTTTTATTGTCAGTTGTGTAAGCCATTTGAAGACTGTTTTTGAGAATTGTCTTTTCACCATAGAGCTGGAAACAGTTGTATTAAGATTCTTAGGTTAACTTCTGTGTGTAGCCATTTAAGGCCAGAATTGAAGAGATTTGTAAATTTATGAACTACTAAGCCCATGGTCCCTTAGTTTTTCTCTCAGGGTTAGCACTTTACCAGTTGAGCCAGAGCTCCATTTCCAGCTTCTTGCTGGTTGCTTGGAGATGAGTCTCAGACTCACCTGTCTAGGCTAGCTTCAAACCTTGATCCTCATATCTCAGTGTTATAAGAAGCTAGAATTACAAGCGTGAGCTACCAGTACCTGGCTGTGGCAGTTTTAAACCATTTACAGAAGACAAAGTATTTTAGACTTGTGCCACACTGAACACTAATGCCTGATGCGTAGACTTGAAAGATGTAAGCTCAGCTGTGATAGTTCACACCTGTGGCTTCTGGCTTAGTTCTCTTGACTCATGAGCACTAGGATATAGCTGTGAGCTACCATATGTTGGTGGAAATTCTGGAAATAATATTGATAAGTAGCTGGGCACTGGTGGCTCAAACCTGTAATCCTAGCTATTTAGGAGGCTGGGATCTGAGGATCACAGTTCAAAATCAGTCTGGGCCAAGTCCCCATTAGCCTATCTCCAAATAACTAAAAAACTGGAAGTGGCACTGTGGCTCAAAAATAGTAGAGTGCTAGCCTTGAGCAAAAAAACTTGGGGAAAGTGCCCAGGCCATGAGTTCAAGCCCCATGATTGATCAAAAAAATAACTGCTTTGAGGATCACCCTTTATTGGCTCTCATAATCTGCTCACTGTTGTAGATATAGGTACAGGCCTAAAGGAGGGCAGAAAATTGGTTTTTCTTTAAAGAGAATTTGCTCCTTGATGGTAGATTTCTAGATTCCCAAAGATTCTGTGTGTATTTGTACTACTTGGGCAGGGTCAGCCATGTTTGGGAACATTCTTTTCCGTCTTGATTTATCCTTTGAGATTTTGTTGTTAGGCAGCAACTCCCAGCATTCCCTGGACACTCATGCCTCTGAGCTGTAGGTGGTTAACAGGTCTTCTACAAAGATCTTTTTGATGTTGAAGGATTGATTAGTTTGACTTACTTCAGCCCCTAAATTGCCCTCTCCAGTAATGGCACATCTATAGTTGTAAATACCTACTTAGAATTTGGTTTTAATGTAATTTTGGTGGTGGGAGGGGAGGTTGGTCGGGGCTTAAACTCGGTCTGGGCTCTGTCCCTCAGCTCTTCAGCTTAAGGTGAGCACTCTACCACTTGAGCCATAGTGCCACTTCTGGTTTTCTGCTGGTTTATTGGAGAGTAAGAGTCTCACAGCATGGCCTTTCCTTCCTGGGCTGGCTTTGAACACTGATCTCATCCTCCTGACTAGGATTACAGGTGCAAGCCACTGGCTCCTGCCTTATAAACTTAAGAACAAAAGAAGAAAAAGGGTGTGATAGCTCAATCCTGTAATCCTAGTTACTTGGGAAGCAGAAATCCAAAGATTGCTGTCTTGAGCCTATCTTAAAAAAATTAAGAGATTAAATCCACCAAATGCAGGGCACAGTGGTGCACCCCTATCCTCCCAACACTGTGAGGAAGAATAATCGCAGTCCAGGCTGGCCCAGATGTGAGGTTCTATCTCAAAAATAACCAGCACATAGGACTGGAGAGGTGGCTCAGTGGTAGAGCGCTTGCCTTGCATGCATGAGGCCCTGGGTTTGATTTCTCAGCACCACATAAGCAAAAAGAAAAAAAGCCGCAAGTGGTGCTGTGGCTCAAGTGGTAGAGCGCTAGCCTTGAGCTGAAGAGCTGAGGGACAGCGCCCAGGCCCAGAGTTCAGGCCCCCTGACTAGACACCCTCCCCTCCCTAAAAAAAAAATAGCACAGAAAGGTATGGTGGAGTGGCTTAAGGTAGAACACCTGCCTAGCAAGGGTAGGGCCGTAAGTTCAAGCTTGCATACTCCTGGCTCAGAATGTGGCTCAGTGGTAGAATGCTTGCCTAGTATGCATCCAACCCTGGGTTCAATTCCTCAGTACCACATAAAACAAAAAAATAATTTTTTTTTTTTGTCTTGTCGATTGTGGGGCTTGAACTCTGGGCCTGGGTGCTGTCCCTCAGCTCTTCAGCTCAAGGCAAGCACTCTACCACTGAGCTACCTTCCCAGGCCTAGAGTGCTAATCTTGAGCAGAAAGCTTAGAGTGCCAAGGCCACAAACTCAAGCCCCAGGACACACACACACACACACACACACACACACACTACTGTGAACATTCTTGGACATCTTTTGGTATGCATTTATGTTGTATGTATATTAAATGAATTAAGTGGGTGGTGGGAGGTAGCGCTCTGCCACTTGAGCCACAGCGCCACTTCCTCTGGCTTTCTGGTGGTTTATTGGAGATAGTCTCATAGTCTTTCCTGCCTGGGTTGGCTTTGAACCGTGATCCTCAGATCTCAGCTTCCTGAGTAGCTAGGATTACAGGCGTGAGCCACTGGTACTTGGCACAGCCATTCTTTTATGTATGTAAATGGATTTAATTCAAGATTTGATTTGGTAGCTGATTTAATTTCCTTGATGACTTTTTAATATGTTGAAATAGTCCTCTTTGTTAGATATCCACTTGATTTTTTGGTTAGGTGGTCATTTTCTTTCTGATCTGTAGGAGGAGTTGTTTTAGGAAGAGTCTGCTTTTGGAGTTGTAATTGCTACTAACACTTTTTTTTTTTTAATTTTTTTATTTTTTGGTCTGGTTGTGGGGCCTGATCTCTGGGCCTGGGCACTGTCCCTCAGCTCTTCACCTCAAGGCTAGCGCTCCACCACTTGAGCCACAGCGCCACTTCCGGCTTTTTTCTTATGTGGTGCTGAGGAATCGAACCCAGGGCCTCAGGCATGCAAGGCAAGCGCTCTACCACTGAGCCACCTTCCCAGCCCTCATTCTGTCTTAATAATGATACTTTTTTCTTTCCTCTTACTTGAGCAAGGGAGCTCAAACCCAGGACCTGAGGAATGTTAATCAAGCCTTTCCTTTGAGGTAAGTGCTATGCCTATGTTACATGCAGAAGGTTTTGCACAATGAGACCCTGTCTCAAATAAAAGAAAGGGTTCCTATCATCTAGACCTAGAATTAGGCAGAATCTGTTTTGTGCATGGTGTGATAGAAATATTAAAAACTTTTTAATGGCACTGGTGGCTCAACTCCTTTAATCCTATTTAGGAGGCTGAGACAGGTAGAATCACAACTCAAAGCCAGCCTGTGCAGAAAATGTGTGTGTGTGTGTGTGTGTGTGTGTGCGCGCGCGCGCGCGT